CTCGGCGGCCGCCGCCGCCTGCGCGGCCGCGGCCGCCTCGGCCGCGCGCTCGCGGTCCGCCTGCCGCGCCTGCTCCCTGATCGCCGAAACAAACTCGCCAAACAGCGCCGCGCGGCGCGGCTCCTCGAGCGCCATGTAGCGGCCGTCGCGCCAGAGGGAAGGCTTGACTGCCGGCCACGTTGAGAACGCGGTTATGGGCGGCGACACGTCAGCGAGAAGCTGCCTGAACGCGTTATCTGCGCGCTCCGCCGCCTGCGCCAGCGCGCGGTCGAGCTTGAGCTGCGGGGCGGGCGTGTGGAAAACAGCGGTGTGGAAAGCGGTCGAGAGGGGTGGATTTGAGGAGGGCGCATGGGTCGTCCGGGTCGGCGGGGCCGGACGAGGGGGACGGGGAGCACGGGAGGTAGGCAGGGAGCCCGCGGTGGGGCCTGAGGGGCAGGCGTGCCGCTGCTTGCGTACGCGTGCTTGTCACAGCGCCGCGCTGCATCCAGTCGCAGCCAGCTGCATGCATGCGGCGCTATCTCTGTCTGTCTGTCTGTCTGTCTGTCTTTCTGTCTCTCTGCCTAACACACACGAAAACACAAATGCAAACAAACACATACACACATAGATGCACACTAATGCAGCACACAAATGCAACACACCAACGTCAGATGCATGCGCATGCTGCCTGCAACAGCTCTAGCTCACACCTTCACACACACACACACACGCACACACACTTGACATACACCCCAGAAACCCACCCCCAACGTCCCCCACACAAAACATCCACAAAATTATGAAAACATGCACATCAATACCACCAGAACGACCCCAAGGCCCCCACCTTGCGCATGAACTCTTCATACACAGCAACCTGCTCCCCCTCACTCAGAGCGGCGCACGCCGGCTCAGCCTCCACGATCGGGCCGATCTGGGGTTGGGTATCGGGGTTTGGGAACCATCGAATGTGATGCAGGTGACATACACAGGGGGAAAAACCCAAGAGTCACAGGCAAAATTGCTGGGGATCGCGCACAGGGCTGCGGTACGGCGTTGGACAGAGAGCAGCGGAGTTTAGATCTCATGATTATCTAGGGTCTAGGGCTTTCCGGACCCACTGAAGAGCGATCCTCGGGCGCCCACGCGCGGCGGGCCCGGCGGGCGCCCGGCAGGGCGCGGGGGCCGGGGGAGGCGGGCCGAGGGCGGCGCAGGCGGAGGCGGCGGCGGCCCACCTCTGACCAGGGCGTCCCAGACTCGGGGTTGAGGCGCTTCAGCAATCCCACCAGCGCCTCCTGTCCCCGCGCCACCCTCTGCGCCTCGACCTGCGGGTTACGCCGCGGCGGGCCGCAGGGCGCGAGGGCGGGCGTCGGGCCGCGTGGTGGGTTGGACGCGTGGCGGGTTGCGGAATGTTGGGAGGTGACGGACAGGTGGGCGCGCCAGGTTGCAGGGCTCGAGGCAGCAGGGGCGAGGAGCGGCGAAAGAGGCAACCGGCGACTACCCCCGCTCTCCCATTGAGGGTTCAACCGAAGACGTCCAAAAACCTGGAATCACGCAAGAAGGACTCAGGTATTCGATCCAACCCCCCCGGGCACACAGAACCCCCCTTCTCTCGCCTGCTCACAACCTTCACCCCTCTCTGGTGCGAAGCCCGATCTGACATGGACCGAAACCCTGTTCATCATCAACCCCAAAACCTTTCTTGACTGACCCCAAGCCCTTCCCGAACCGGCCCACCTGGGCAGCAGCTGCCAGGTAAGCGTCAAACAGCTCCCGCCGCCGCCCCTCCTCCTCCACCGCCCCCCACCGCGGGTCCCCGGCCAGCTGCCGCTCGGCTTCCTCCCAGCTGCTGCTGTGGGAGACCGCGGGGGCGGCGCCGCGCAGCATCTCGAGGAAGGAGGCGTCGGCGGCCTTGCGGGCGCGGCGCGCGCCGGCCTCGGTCTCAATGTCCTGTTGGGTGGGTGGGTGCGTGCGTGCGTGCGTGCGTGTGTGTGTGTAAAAGGAACACATGTGACTCGATCATAAAGGATGAGACAGCATAAAATGATGTGTTCGTGTGTACGAGAGCGCACAAGAAAACGTCAGTGTCTGAGGATGTGTGTGTGTCTTGAGAGGGAGGAGGGCGGTGGGTGGGTGGGCGTGTGGACGCGCTCACGAGTGCATTCACGTTGGTGTGTGTGCCAAAAGTGTGGGACAAAAGCTGTTCGTGCGACGCTCGCAGGCCACCACGAGAAGGAGGGGTGGGTGCGTGTGTGTGTGTGTGTGTGTGTGTGTGTGTGTGTGTGTGTGTGTGTGTGTGTGTGTGTGTGTGTTTATGCCTTGCAGCGGGGCAACACACACAAGCACACACACACAAGGAGGCGAACCCAACCACAACCAATCCGCGCGCACCTTGAGGATCCGCTCCGCGTCGCCCTTGACCGACGAGAATATGTCCGAGGTTATCCGCATCGCCAGCCCGCTGAACTTCAACCCCGCATAAACCGCCTGCCCCGCAGACTCCACCACGCCCGTGCCCGTCCCCGTCCCGCCCGTCCCCGTCCCCGTCCCCGCCCCCGCGCCGCCCGTCCCGGCCGGGCTTCCGCCGGGCGCCGCCGACGGCGACGCGGCGGCGGCGACGCTCTTTAGTACCCCCGAGGCTTGGGACCAGAGGGAGCTGTAGCTGGACTGGAGGGACTGCAGGCGGCTGCTCATCTCCCCGAGGGCAGCTTCCTCCTCACGCAGCTCGTCGGCTGAGGCGGCGCCCTTGGCGACCTTGTAACAGGAAGGGGCACAGAGAGAGAGAGAGAGAGAGGCAGGGTGCTTGTGTGCGTGTGTTTGCGCGCACACGCACGTGTGTGTGTAGCTTGGGGGTGGGTGTGCGCATGCGTATGTGTTTTTTGCGTGCGCGTGTGTGTGCGCGTGTGATGTCAACGCATCTTGCCTGCAACAACGCATCACATGCTATTATCAGAGGGCTGGCGGCCATCAGCGCCGCATGCGGGGCCCACGACATCCAACCCACCGCCCCACCGCCCCACCGGGCCGCCCGCACACGCACACGTACACACACAGACACACATACGGGCACACACACACACACACATACGGGCACACACACACACACACACATACGGGCATACACACACACACATACGGGCATACACACACACACACACACACAAACATGCGCGCGCGTGTGCACGCGTGCGCCCACCTTTGCCCGCAGGTCCTGCACCGAGGCGACCTTCCTCTGTGTGGCACTCTCCTGCTCCTTCACCTGGGACTCCAGCCACGTCAGCTGCGCACCCATAGACTCCCACAGCTGGTGGGGATGGGTAGAGAGGATGAGGAGCGGGAGGGAGTGGGAGTGCGGGGAAGGTTTCAGGAGAGGGGGGTGGCGCGGGCCCTAGCCATGCCGGCCGAGCGCGCATCAGCCGCGGAACTTGTAAGCGGAGGGGGGGGGGCGTGGAGGAGGGGAGTTGAGGATAGAGGGCAGGGCGCTGCGATGCGGTGGGCAGCGCGATGCGGCTGCCGCGCCGCCGGCCCCGGCAGCGCCAACAGGGGCAGCGCAGCTGCCGACAGCGGGGGCGCCGCAAGCGGCCGGCAAAACTCAATTCCATTTCCGCTGACAGCCGGGTCATGCAGGGGGCAGCTGCCACTAGACGCACCTGCGCCGCGCCGCTCTTTTTGCCCGTGACCTCCGACCCGCCC